GGTCTTCAGAAAGTTCATGGAAATGCATATTATGAAAAAATTGCATGATTAAAAGTTTTTTGCAACAATAAATTTGTGCTTTAATTCCATTTTTCCGTGAAATTTTTGAAGCTTCCTTGAATACTTTAGCTGTGTACCCAGGCAAAATTTTTTTTTTATAGAATATTTATTTACTTATTATTATTGTTATTATTATCATTACGTGAGTTTTGCCAGAGAAAGAGAGAGAGAGAAAGAAAGCCACCAGATCTGGGACTATAACCACAGCCAGCCATGTGGGAATTCCAGCACCTTAACTACTACACCACCTGCTGGCCCTACAAAATCATTTTCTTTGTTGTAAATTACATTGTTTTATTTTTAAGAATTATTTATTTTTAATTTTATTTACTCATTATTATTTTTTTTTAATTTTGACCAGAAAGAGAGAGAGAGAGAGAGAGAGAAAGCAAGCCAGTAGGCTCAGGATTTCAACAGTGGTTGGCCATGTGGGAGTGTCCAGTGTCTTAACTACCATGCTACCTGCTGGTCCCTGCAATTTACACTTGTAAAAAAATTATTTTATTGGGACCAATAGACGGTGTAGTGGTTATGTCTCTGAACTCACATGGCCTACTACATCTGGTGGCTTGAAACTCACACCAGGCACATGTGCATGTATGCCCAGGATCCAGGGAGCAGAATGGAGGAGAAGAGTTTGTGGTGTGGCCATCCCCCTAGGGGGGTGATTTCTCACTTTCCTTCTTACTATCTCTGTCTCCCCTACCCCATCCCACCTACCTTTGAGTGCTCACACCCTAAGGCAAAAACCTCTTAAAATAATTTATTTTTCAATAGATTCAATAAATTTTTGTTATTTATTTTATTTTATTTTTTAAATTTTTTTTAGAATTATTTTATTTAACTTTATTTATTATTATTATCATTATTATTTTCTAGTTTGATCAGAGAGACACACAGAGAGAGAGAGGAAGTGAGAAAGCAAGCCACCAGGTCTGAGACTTGAACCGTGGTCGGCCATGTGTGAGTCCAGCACCTTTAACCACCATGCCATTTGCCAGCCCCATATTTTTTAAATTTTGCTATAGGGAGAATGCATTCATTGGAGAGAAACAGAGATAGAGGGAGAAAGAGAAAAAGGGAGAAAGCACACCATTGGGGGTTTGACCATGCCACAGTCCTTTCTTCTCTATTTTCCTCTTGGGATTTTGGGCACACACACACACACACACACACACACTTGAGCACTGTATGTTTTTCAATCCCAGGCCCACCAGGTCTGGGGTTCAAACTGCACAGTTGGTCATGTGAGATCCAGCTGTCTTAACAACCATGCCACTGGCAATCTTGCAAGTTATACGTTCTTGTTTGTTTGGGTTTTAAAAAATATTTTTTCTATAGGGCATGTGTGCTCACTGGAGACAGAGGTAGAGAAAGTGCGAGGTCACCCACAGAAGGGATAATGTCATTACAATCCCTTCTCCTCCGTCGTCCTCTCAGGATTTGGGGTATGCATGCACATGTGCCTTGCATGTTTCTTGAGCCCTCAGGTTCAGGACTTGAACCAGGAGTTGGCCAGATGGTATCCAGACACCTTAACCTCCACACAACCTGCTGGCCTCCTGCAAGTGGCAAATTTTTGTTTTTTTATTGAGAGGTTTTTGCTATAGGGTGTGTGTGCTCACCAGAAAGACAGAAACAGAGACAGAAAGCAAGAAATCACCCCCCTGGGGGATGGCCACACTGCAATCCCTTTTCCTCCATTCTTCTCTCTGGATCTTGGGCATGCACGCACATGTGTCCAGTGTGAGTTTAAGCCACTGGGTCCGGGACTCGAACCTTGGTCGGCCACATGGGAGGCCAGCGACATAGCCAGTACGCTAACTGCTGGTCCCAGCAAGTGGCAAGTTTTTAATTCACCTCAGTAGTTTTAAGTTCCAAGAGGGTGATGAATTCCAAGCATCTAGTACAGAATTTGTAAGATTAGTACACAGGGACCCAACAAATATTTATTGAATTGAATGAATGAATGGTTATACATATGAGCATACATAATATCCATCATTGAAATAGCATTCTAAGATTTCGATTTTGAGGTGAGAATTGCCTTTCAGTTGGTAGATAGGGAATTATGATAATTCTGTGTAAAGGTGCTAAAGGAAGTTCCTAGTCTTGATACTTCACTGTTCAGTGATAATGTTTGTTCATTGACAGAGACAGATGGCAGGTTACTGGATTGTTTAGATTTTTATTAAATAAATATATCAGTGCCACAGTTTTGCCTTTTTTAAAATGTTTTTTCCCATGTGTTGCATGAGTTTATTCATAGTAAAATAAACAGACAAACAAACAAACAGAGCCGGCAGGCGGTGTGGTGGCTAGGGCTCTGGACTCCCATATAGTCGAACACAGCTCAAGTCCCAGACCTGGCAGCTTAAAAATTATGCTGAGCACATGTGCTGTGTGCCCCAAATCCCAATAGAAGAACGGAGGAGAAGGGATTGTAGTTGGCCATCTTCCCTGGAGAGTGATTTCTCATTTTCCCTCTCTCTCTCTCTGTCTCTGGTAAGTGCACATGCCCATGGCAAAAGCATAAATTAAAAAAAATTTTTTTTTTTTAAATTAAGGTATATGAATTGAGGAAAAAAACTCTTCTCTTCCCACCCTCCGGTATTGCCTATCATTTCTCAGACACAATGCCTATTAACAATTTAGTTTGGGGACCGGCAGGTGGCATGGTGGTTGGGGCGGTGGCCTCCCACCTGCCTGATCGTGGTTCGAGGCCTGGACGTGGTGGCTTGTTTTCTCACTTTCCCTTTCTTTCCCTCTGTTAAGTTAAAACATAAATAATAATAGCAAATAAAAGTAAATAAACAATTATTTCTAAAAGATTTAATTTGTCCTCCCAGGCCTTTTCCTTTGAAAGATTCAAATGATGCAAGTAAGGTTAAATGCAGAGAGAGGGAAGGTGAGAAAGCATTGACCAGGGGGATGGCCACACCACAGTTCTTTTGTCTCCATTCGCTTAGGATTTGGGGCATGCACGCACACATGCCCAATGTGTTTTTCCAGTCATCAGTTCTAGGACTTGAACTGTGTAGTCAGCCGAATGGAATCTTTTTTTTTTTTTTTTTTAAGAAT